TACCGCACCCCTCCTGGCATGGGGCCCAGGGGGGAGGAGAAGCGCAAAAGGCATCAGGACCAGGCAACAAACCTTGAAAGCTGTTAACCAACCAGAATGCAGCTGCAGGGATGGTCGGAGGCAGCTCCGGCTGGTACAGGGACCGCCAGGAAGGGAGAACTGCCTCAATCACCGCCTTTACTATCTCTGATACACATCTCAAGCAGTAGGACGGTAGTGGGCAACTGGACATGTGGTTGTGTCCTTAGGGACATCCGTAAAAAATGGAGCGATACAGAGAAGATTAGCATGGCCCCTGCGCAAGGATGACATGCATAAATCGAGAAATGGTCCCCCCCCCAAAAAAAAAAGTGGTTGTCCGCAGGAAAGGGTCAATCAGCGTAGGGCTTCAAGGTTGGTCAGACTGGGACGCAAATGCGAAAGATACTGATATAATTAAGGGATGCTGGGCGCCAGTTCTGACCACGTGTCACTACCCACGAATAAGATGGAAGCCGTCAACGTGCAGCCACCTACAACAGACATGGGCTCTTATCCCTGCCAGTGGTAAAAAAAAGAAGCTCGGTCCTGATGCTACTGGCTGACCCCTGGCCAGTACCGCCTACCTGCAGGTCGGGTGCAGCCCCTGCATGTTTCCTCGTTGGAGGCTTGAACTCGGGATGGCTGCTATGAGATTCCCCGTAATCCTGTCGCTGTGGGTAGAGCGGAATACCCCTCTGATGCAAAAATGTTTTGCGAAATGCCCCTGCCGTTGGCTGGACCCACCATCTTTGCAAAATATCCCTACTGGGTACTGTCCATCTTTGCAAAATGTCCCGGTACTTGCCAACTTTTCCCAGGCCCTATTTTATTTTCGTTTTACCCCTGTCAGCCCGGGTCATCTTTGCATTTCGGCCCCTGGCTGTTTGAGGCCGACAACGGTCTTTTCCAGGCCCTTGAAGAGAAAGCACCACCTATATGGCTGTTATCTTTTGAAGCAACTTTCTGTCTAGATACACCCATAATGGACGTGCATTCTATTTGGGGGGGCGCTGTCGTTTTTAGCAGTTGCGTTGTGTGTGTGTGTGTGTGTGTGTGTGTGTGAGAGAGAGAGAGAGAGAGAGAGAGAGAGAGACAGAGCGAAGAGTGGCGGGCAGGAGGATGTCGGAGAGGGCAAAGGAGAAGAATTGGAGGGATGGCGGGAGGAGTAGGCACGGCCAGAGACTTCAAACGACTTAGAAAGTTGGAGGCGAACTGCCGCGCCTATGGGCCTGGGTATTGCGCAAAGTTGCCCACCCGGTATGGAGGGCAAACCAGGTAAAACAGAGTGCAGGCCCAGGCCCCAACCATGACGTCCAGATTGCAAATTTGCACACAGGCCTGACAGGGGCAAAACACAATGAATTAGGCCCAAAGGGGCATTCTGCTCTACCCACATCTTTTAGGGGTATTTTGGCATTTATCTCAACTTATAGGGGCATTTCACAAATTATGCCTTTTTAAAAAGGCTAAATCTTTTAAGCCCAAGCAATTCAATTACTTGTCGAATTTGGACAGGATGGCCTTTGACAATCCTGTCCAGATTTGACAGGTACTTGAATTGGTTGGGCTTAAAAGATTTCGCCACTACCTTTCTTTTTTGTTCTTTTTTTACCACACACACAGGCGAGTTCCCCATCTATTCTAGGGGCCTGCAGTCCAGTTGCTTGATCTATTCTGGGGGCCGGCAGTCCAGTTGCTTATCACGGGCAAGCAAACAATAGTACACAACCATCCCGATACCCGGAAGACACATCTGGACAGTGTGAGACCGGGAGACTCCCATTCGCACCCAGGCATCCCGCAGTCGTCGCAAACATCCCCCCAAGCCGCATCCCTTGTGCCCCTCCTCCCCCTCCCTCCACCCCCCCTCCCGTTCTCCCCACCTACCCATCCCATGCTATATCCCCCTCCTGTGGCTTTTGGTGGTCATATCCACCCTGTTGGGAAATATACCACATTCTCCGGGGGCTGGGCTGGGCCCAAATACGGCCGCCGTTGATAAATTCCGTCAGTGGCCTATTCTGCATTGCTGTGTTACGGGCCTCTGAAACTCAAAGTAGTGGTGGTTCAAAAACAAAAAAGGGAAAAGGAAAAAACTTGCAAAATACCCCAGAAAGTTCACATATTATATGCTAAATACCCCTAAGACATGTATGTAGAGCTCAACACCCCTCTTGTGAAATACCCTAAAAGTTCACGTCTGTGCTAAAATACCCCTACGAGATGTAGGTAGAGAGGAATACCTCTCTGAAATTTCAAAAGGTCGTGAAATGCCCTTTTGGACAAGGGCATTTCACAACCTTTTCAAATTTCAGAGGGGTATTCTGCTCTACCTACATCTTCCAGAGGTATTTTAGCATACGTGAACTTTCAGGAAATTCAGGGGTATTTCGCAAATTTTCTCTTGAAGAAATTCGGGTTCGGCATAGCCCCTGCCGTACACGATTGTGATTCGCGGCGATCTGGTCAGTTTTTTTTTTTCCTAAGTAAGCTATATTCTTCTCTCATCTATCTCATCTTCTTGCCAGTACATCTATCTCATCCTCTCGCTAGTCTATGTATAGTACGGGGGAGATCTGGTCAGTTTTGCCCTTCTCTCGCAGACTGGTTAGAATTGCTTGAGATGAGCATGAATGTGGACACGATTTTGGAAAAGTTCAAGCATCTGGATGGGTTTATCCATTTGGCCTCAATTCGTCCATGCTGGGACAGCCTCATGCCCATCTAACGGCCGGACTCGAGAAGGGGTTCCCAACCAACCCTGCGTCGTGGTCCCAGTAGACGCCACTCAAGAAGGGGAGTACAGCTGACCCCTCGCCGCGAGACGCCACTCAAGAAGAGGAGGCCAACTGGCCCCTCATCACAATCCCAATAGACACCACTCAAGAAGGGAAGGCCAACTGACCCCTTCAAAATTCTCCAGCAGTCATTGACTTACCCTGAGGGCACACGTGCACAGCCCATAGTTCGTATATGCTTGATTGATAAAGGAGGTGTTATTGGCGAGGTTTAGAAGTATGCACTTGCAAATGCAGTGCAGGTGTCCCGCATTTTTCAAAGAAACTGGCACCACCCCCCAAAGTTCCACCCTGCCGCTTCTTTGCCACCGGTTCGACCAAAACCCAGCAAGCGGTCCCACGGGCACCTACCGGTCCCGCATTTTTCAAAGAAACTGCCACCACCCCCGAAAGTTCCACCCTGCGGCTGCCACCGTGTCGACCAAAACCCAGCGCGCGGTCCCACGGGCACGGTGTGCCACCCCCCCCCAAAGTGTCGTGCCTTGACCTGCCTGCATTTTTCCAACCTTCCAACGACCACACGAGAAGGACCACAAAATGTCTCAGGGGGGCAAATGTCTCAGAGGGGGAAAACGCACCCCTGACGGGCTGCGAACAGCACCGTATGGCGATCCTCAGTCAGACGATGGTGCTATCTTTAGCATTATCTATCCTTCGGCACTCGCCGCACCACTCGCCAAACGCCAACATTTTGAATGCATCTGGACGGGTTGTTCGTCCGGATACCTCCAAAATGTTGCCGTTTGGCGAGTGGTGCGGCGAGCCCCTTTCTCCGCCATCCGGGTCATAGTCGCGCCCAATGACGACCAGGCATGTCATCGTCATTGCTTCCTATTTTAGCATCATACTGTGTATTGTATGCATCTTATTGTTTCCTAATTTGCATTATCAGCTTCTTCCCTGATCGACCGTTTCTCACTTTGAGAATAATACCTGCTTAATCACTAATTCACGATTAACCACCATCTTCCCCCGAACACAACGCACCCTGATCATGAATGCATGAAGTCTGCTTTCCAGGTCCTGCACAGTCAAAATGAGGGTGCGATGTGTTCGGGGGAAGTCGGTAGTGGACTACATTTGCCTTATTGATCACCGATTGGTCTAATAAACGGTATCCTAATTTGCCCTTAGATAAGCCTAATCCAGATCCAGTTAGTCAAACATGTATGTAATCCACTTACGATCAAGGTTCAATCTAATCCGCATCTAAGTGCATTACATTCACGCTTGGCTACCCGGATCAGGTTACCAGCTTATCTAACGCTCCCACGTAGCTGTGCCTCCAGCGGCTTCTCGCCCGCCTCTCGCCCGCCTCTCCCTCCCTCTCTCCCTCTCTCTCTCTCTCTCTCACACACACACACACACACACACACACACACACACACAC